GGTACCGTCAGCAGGGTGGGGTAGTGGGGGGGAGCCAGGCTGCAGCCCTTTTCTGGGGGCAATAGCTGCTCCTTCATCTTGTTAATGAACATGGTATTCTCGATCTACATGAGTGTGAAAGAGTTCTTTTAGAATACCCCAGAATTGACACCTCCCAGCAGTAGGCACTGTAGGAAATAGGTCAGGAGCACTCTGGTCCCAGCAAGGAGCAGAACCAAACAGACCATGGTGGAAGAGAAAGGCCCTTACCTGTCCCGAGACTGTGGGCGCTGCTGGCCAGAAGTACGGGGAGGAGTTGAAATGAGATTCTTCCATCCTAGCTGGGCAGAGGGGGGAAGACAAGGAAAGGGAGACAGAAACACATGTAAAAGAAAAACATTAAACCCAAAGAGTGTGATAAGGAACTGGCTCAGCCTAATGCAGTGACCCCTGTGGGATCTCCCTTTTTATACTAAGCAACATGGCCCCTCTTCTGATCTTTCTGCCAAGACCCTGTCTCCCAGCAAGGAAAAGAGGCTGCTTCTCACCACTCACCCAGGACTAGGTTCCTCTCAATTACCTCCTGACTGAAGCTAGTCCCCCACCCCAAAGATGACTAATTTCCCCTGTGGGGAAGGGGTGGGTGGGTTTTGTTTCTGCAACCATGACCCTCACAGGTGGAAACAAATTCTCACAACATTGCACATAATCCAACCCCCAACCAGTGTGAATTCCAGATCCTGCCTGCCCCTGCCCCTTCATCTTAACATAAAGTCAGGCACTAACTACCCCTCATCCGCAGGTAGCAGGAGAATGTTAGCATAGTGTTACACAGGGGGAAGAGACAGGGAGGGAAACAGATTTGCCCAAGATAACATAGTGAGCCAACAGATGATCAAGAAATAAAATCCAGGACTCCCAATTTCCTGTTTCCTACTGCTCTAATACACTGGACCCCACTCCCATGGGAAAGCCTAAAACAGAATCTAAGGATCCTGGAGTCCAAGCAGACTCCACTGCCCTCCCCTGGGAAGAGAACCCAGGAGTCCTGATTTCCACATTCCCCCTCCTTCCAAAAGGGGTGAAGAAGTGACTCACTATGCCACCCCCCTTTTAGTACCATCCTTCAGCCATGTTTTGGGCACACAATCATATACCACCACCCCTCAAGTCACTGCTGCCCAACCCCAGCTCTCAAGCCAACCTGAGGCTATGTCTACACTGCAGAGACTACACCATCCTAGCTACCTCAGCACAGCTATGCCAGCATAACCCGGTTGTGTAGCTGCAGCTTACATCAACAGAAAGGGGTTTTCCATTGGTGTAGGAACACAACCTCCCCTAACAATGGTAGCTATGTCAACAGAAGCATTCTTCCACCACCAGAACTGCATCTTCACTGAGGGTTAGGTCAGCTTAGCTATGTCCGTCAGAGGAATGGATTTTTCACACCCTTGACCAATGTAGCTATACTGACCTAATGTTTAAGTGTAGACCAGGCCAGAGACCAAATGGCAGCCCTCTCCAGACTGGAGGAGCTTCACCTCTATGAGCACAGCAATTGGGAGAGACACAAAAAATCCACTCCCTGCGATATGCTCAACTGGCAAAGCTTTCAACACCAATGAAATGACTATTTAAAAACTATGAACATTCATATACAAAAAATGTGTTATGATAGAGTGAAGGCTTAGACTATTCACTCAAATATATGTTGATAATTAAATATATGTTGATCACTTGATAATTAAATTCCATTAAATGAAAACTACATTTGGAGAACATTAAGTTTGAAAAGTGAGATGCTCATAGTTAGAAAGTTTCTAAGGTAAGGTTACCAGTGCAGCCTCAACCTGCTACATTTCTACATCAGTTATGAAATACAGTCTTTAATTACATGACCACATATTATTTTTCTGTAGGCCCCATCTCATTGAATAGACAGGTTGCTGAGCAGTGTGCAATGAATAATGTAGAAAGACGACATTTTTAAAAAGGGTAATAAAACCAAAATGAAGATGTACGCTGTACACACCACAATTCCTATATATCAGCCAAAAATCAAAGAATTTTAAATAAACCCAATTACTTGTAATTTTTTTAAATGAACTACTTCCTTTCTGTGTAGTGAACCCACCCTTGCCTCATTCATTACCTACTGTCCAACAAGTATACTTAAAGGCCAAATTTTGTTCTTAGCTACTCCAATATAAATTCACTGCAAATTAATAGATTTTGATTGAATTACTTCGGATTTACACTATTGTTATTCAATCATAACCTGGTCCAGAACATGAGGGAGTTACAGAAGCCATCTCATCTTCATTTCCTTAATACCACTCAGCCCATGACTGAAGCAGGGGCCTGTGTACATTAAAGCCTAATTACATGACAGAACATAATCATAATGCAAGTATATGAGGGGGCAGAGTTAATGCATTTTGTGACTATGGCATTTCTATAGTTTCCCAAGGCATTTAAAAAACCCCCACAAGATTTAAGTACCTTCACTATTTGCCCAGATAGAATCTTAAAACCAAAATGAAATTGGATTTGTACAATACAATATTGAGGTTTTTATGCACTATGCAAACAAAGTTGATGGTGGTACCAGATTCCCACTGTTTCACCTGTAAAGTTTTAGGTGTAGAAGACAAGGGCTCATAAAATTAAGTAAAATCTTGATTTTGCCACACACACTTACTTACACTTCTTTCATTTAGAAAATTGGAAGATAGCTAAAAGCAATTCAGTTTTCAAACTCAAAGCCAAACCAATGTTGATGGCGACAATCAATAACTTCCTACCCCCAACTAGTCCACTATTAGAGTCGTTATATAGTCACAATTTTATTTATAAAGGCAAAAGTATATTTTCCACTGTACTGGTTCTCAAAATATGGCTAACCCCCAAAACCCTTCATATTTTGGGAGAGCTGAGGCTTGGAAAAATTCAGTTTAAAAGGTGAAAGCTTGACAAAGTTATTATGAACTGCGGGGTGGGGAAGAGGGGGAGTAGTCACAACAGAAGATTTCATGCAATTTCAGCAGCATGCCAACCCTTTAAAATGAGGAAAGTTGAAGATAAAGTTCCTCCAACAGACTTCTGTCCTCCTACCTACAGCTAGCCACCCATTGTAGTCTAATAACCCTTTTGGAAATATGAATCCCTAGTCATCATCCCACCCCCTTAACACCGCTCACACTTACTTTACCAGAACTCTGCATGTAACCTTTCCAATTGCTCTACCACTATCACATACGGGATGGAGCTTCAACCCTGTACCACAGCATGATCCCACTGAAGAGCCTTCATCATCTCAGCTTCCACAAACAGGCCACAGATGGGACCTTCTTCCCATTCACCAGTCTAGTATCAGACAGATGTCAACGTGCCCTCCTGATATAAACCAGAAACAATACCTTCCATGTACAGGCCAAATTCACATGCACTGAACAAGCAATTGAACAAACAAGAGAATTTGATTACTGCTTATCATGAGGGACAAGGTATCACCACTATGGCTCTCACAGATTCACACACTTCACAGGCCGGGCTTACATTTCATGGAGTTACTGCACTGAATCACTGGCACATACATGAAAAGCATAGCAAGGACTTAGAGTGGAGAAGTGGTGTGTACAAGGGGGTACAATTAAGGCTAAATATGCAAGAATAGGTAAAGTAGACTTTAAATATAATTTTCCTTACTTTCACACAGTTTATTTATTTATTGTGATGTTCCATTTCCAACTTTATAATAATAAAAAAAAAACCTGAGGATGACACACGGGAGTGGTACCTAACGCATCATTATATCTGTACAAGACCTGATTTCATGGTGGGGAAGTTTTAGGCCCAAGTGATGCTGGAAACAATTCATGATGATGAACACACATTGAACACAGGGCATTTGATGAGATGCAAAAGCATCTTCACAGAGTTCTGAGGAAGAAGAATTAAGGAATTCTATGTAACAATCTGAAAAGCCATTATTTGGTTCCATGCCATCAATAACCTAATCATAGTGGAGAAAAAAGAACTGGATTCTCCTTCCCCAACCACTATTAATACACTAGAGGTCAACAATCTTCACGGCATTCCCTCAGACATCCAATCCCACCTCCCCCATACCTTGAAGCTAAAGAGGAAGTGATGCCCTAGAGGTGAAGCACCCTATAGCCAACCCTTGAACAGGTCAGTCCCTGGACCGGAACTAACTCCCAGAAGAAGATCCCAGAGCTGGGCACTAGGGCCACCATACAGAAAAGGGGCGGGGCGGGGGCAGCCAGTACTGAATCATACCCGCAGCTCCCCGCATTTTCCTGGAAGTTTCTTACCCCCTCTCCCTCTCACTCTCCCTCCTCTTGCATTTCTCCTCCTTCCAGGGCTGTTTCTGCGAACAAACTACCAGCGTTACTGGACGCGTTGGCGAAACCAGGGCTCGGGGGGCTGCATGGCGGCGTTGGTGGGGGGAGAGGGACGCGCCCCGCAGCCAGCGCAGGGGCCCGGCCACAAGGAAAAGGGGACCACCCCGCGCGCACACATCCCACAGGGGGGCAGCCCCGCCCACGCGGGCAGTGTCCGCCCCCGGGGGGAGCCCTCAGCCCGCCCCCCGCGGGCACCGAGCCCCAGCTGTGCAGCGGCCGAGCCCGAGGGAGGGGCCGACACGATCCGGAATCTCAATCCCCGCGCGGCGGAGCCCAGAGGCTGACGGCACTCTGCACCGACACCCAATCAAGCCTCCCCGCTTCCGCTTCCGGGTCATTCAAACCCGGAAGTACCCTTGCCACGGGTCTCTCTTGGTCTCGCCCACCGCCGATTACCGGACACCACCCCCCAGCTGCGACCCCGACCCCGGCTCCAGCGGCGACAGCAACCTCCTCACCGGAAAGGGGAGCGGCAAGTCGCTTCCGGTTCAGGAGGCGGGGCGTGTTTTGGCACGTCCGGGGCTCTAGAAAGGTCGGAACTGACGTCATAAACAGATACTTTTGCAGTGCAGAAGGCAATGAATGAATGGACTTGCAAATCGGAAGTGCTAATCATGGGCACGGAAGACGGAGGCAGCGCTCGCACCGCAGTGGACCAGCAATAGCGCCAACCGCGGAAAGGCGGGAATCACCTAAGACAAATCAGAACATCAGCAACCTTTGAGGACGAGGTGAGATTTTCCTGCCGGAAGTAGTTAACGAGGTCGGCGAAGGGGTGACTCCAGGCCGGAAGTAAGGGCTGAAATAACGATTTTTTGACAGCGGATGATACTCCGCTTTCAGAAGCGGAAATAACTCGAGTTCCTAGACCGTGATGTCATTTCCGCTCGGAGCGGCCATATCTGTTGAATATTCATGAGGTTTATGAATAATTGACTGTCGGTTGATTGACAGCGTTTCCTGCTGCCGAGCGACAGGGCGTGGTCCCGCCTCTTCCCAGCCCTGCAGAGCGGCCCCATTGCGGAGCCCGGGGGGGGCTCGCTGCCGGCGGCGCCGGGCGGGGCAGGCTGGGGGAGAGGCCCGCGGAGCAGCGTGGGCTGGGCTGTGTGTCCCGCAGGAGGGAAGGGCCCTGGGGGGAGCCTGTGAGCCAAGCAATTGGTGCAAACGTGCCCCCAGTCACGGCCTTGCAGCTTCTCCCTGTCTGTGCCCGCAGCGCCTCCTCTAGGCCTGCGGGCACTCCTGCAGTGGTTTGGCTGAGTGTCTGGTAATTCTGGTGTGACAACCTCCCCGCCCCCAAATATATACCCTGAGGTGGGCCCAGGCACTGTGTACAGGCCAGAGGGCTGGATTGAGGGACGGGGACTATCCTCACTCCCTGCACCTCTTCCCTGCCTGCACTTGATCCTCTTCTGTTGGCCCTCTGGGCACGGAGGGACGTTGGGGACCGAGGGCTTCCTGTGCTGGACAGGGAAGACACTGCATGGAGCCAGTGGGGATATAGCAGATATTGCAATCCCAGACCATATCTCTGGCCACCACTGTGACTTTGCACTCCATAATGTTTTATGCAAATATACTTATGAGTGTAAATATGATGTAACTGGAATATGCTTTATGCAAAAGGTCTCTTGATCTTATAATCTACTATGTTCATCCTATTTATATGTATCATTCATGTATCTGAAGCTAGAAATAGAAAGTATAACTCTGAAGTCCTATTGTAATTATGCAGAGTGTGGGCCATTGATGATGGTTTAGAGCAGGGGTAGGCAACCTATGGCACGTGTGCTGAAGGCGGCACGCAAGCTGATTTTCAGTGGCACTCATACTGCCCAGGTCCTGGCCACCAGGTCCAGGGGGCTCTGCATTTTAATTTAATTTTACATGAAGCTTCTTAAACATTTTAAAAACCTTATTTACTTTACATACAATGATAGTTTAGTTATATATTATAGACATATAGAAAGAGACTTTCTAAAAATGTTAAAATGTATTACTGGCACGCGAAACCTTAAATTAGAGTGAATAAATGAAGACTCAGCACACCATTTCTGAAAGGTTGCCGACCCCTGGTTTAGAATCTTGATGGCTCCTATTGACTAGGACAGTTGGTTGTAAATGGCTCTGTTTACTTGCAAACCTTCCTGTGTTCCTGTAAGCTAGCCCAGGAAGAATGGTGGAATCCATCTTAAACCTGGTGCTCTTCCATTTAGAAGGAGGGGTGGGGATCCAGAGAGACAAAATATTCCTGCCTTATGCCAGAGCTATAAAAGGGGGTGGAAGAGAACAAAGGAGGGTCCCAGTCATGGGGGAAAAAACCCTGCTTTTCACCTAAGATGCCTGCTGGAACTAACAAGGATTGTACAAGGAGAAAGGATTGGGCCCAGACTAGGAATGAGTCTGTGAAAGAAGCTCACTGTAACATCTCGGAGGGTGAGATTTACCTGTAAACAGTCTCTTAATGTATTAAGCTTAGACTGGCGTGTTTTGTTTTATTTTGCATGGTAACTTACTTTGTTCTGTTATTACTTGAAACCACTTAAATCCTACTTTTTATACTTAATTAATAAACAAAAGTGATTTTATTAACCCAGAGTAAGTGATTAATATCTGGGGGAGCAAACAGCGATATGCACAGCTATCAGTATTATAGAGGGGGGGACAATTTATGAGTTTATCCTGTATAAGCTTTATACAGAGTAAAACGGATTTATTTGGGGTTTGGATCAAATTGGGAACTGGGTGCTGGAGATAGGTGACCTACAGAGCAGTTTTGGTTAAAGTCTGCAGCTTTGGGAGCGTGGACCAGACCTGGGTCTGTGTGTCTGGCTCAACAAGGCAGGGTTCTGGAGTCCCAAGCTGGCACAGAAAACTGGCTCAGAGATAATTTCAACACATCAGGTGACAGTCCCACAGGCGTCTCTGTGACCGAACCTGTCACAACCTCTGTATTATATTCATGAAAGTTCTCTGTATGATTGTGTTCTATTCCACAGGGGCAGGTTACCCCAGTTCCTCCACGAACTAAAAACAGTGGGAGCGTTTACCCTGGGGTATTGTAAACCACCCTGGAGAAAATGGAGTGGTTTGCATTATTGGTTCAAGCTGGGTTTTCCACAGATTAAGCAAGGGCTTTTGGTGTAAAACATGGGTGGCCAAACAGCGGCTCATGGAGCCAACCCCACCACATTCTCTGCCTACCAGACTGGTGTGGGGAGCTTGGAGCTCCTGCTCTGAGGCAGAGTGGTGTGGCTAGGGGCTTAGAAATGACTGGTGCCTGCTGAAAGTATGTGTGTGGGGGAGAGGTACAATTTAAAGGTTCAGGCCCCTTCCTGCAGCTCCTAGCTGTTAGCTCCAGGTGGAGAGGCAGCAGCAAAAGCAATGGTTCTCCCAGCTGATGCTGCCTCTACCCATAGCTGCAGCTCCCCGCTTGCTGGCTCCAGCAGCTGTGGTGCAGGAAGGGGGCCCGGTGGCACCATGTGACTGAATGGGGCCAGCAAATGTGGTAAATACCAGGGAGGGCACATGACCCATGTGTCCCCCTCACACATGGCCTTTGGCTTCTGCCCAGCAGGATGGGTGTAGTCTCGGGGCTTCAGTGCTGTGTGGTGACCTGCCAGGGTTTGGAGCTTCAGCAGGAGTGGGGCTGAAGCCCTGAGCCCAAGCAGGCACCTCCTGAAGCACCAAGACCCCCACCCCGCTGGACAGAAGCCCCAAGACACACACCCAGCACAGCAAAAGCCCCTAACCCCACCAGCCCATTGCGGGGCTGAAACCCTGAGCCCAGCAGGGCTGAAGTCCCAAGACCCTGGCAGGCACACCCCAGCTCTTGAACTTCTGAAGATTGTCATATGCAGCTCAGAGGGTCAGTAAGTTTGGCCACTCCTGGTATAAAAAGATGAGCTTGAACTGATACAAGGCTTTCTTTTGATTCAGCAAACAAGCAGGACTTCAAGGGCTCCAACCCTTGTGGAAGGGTTGGAAGAACTTTGGATTGCTAGAGCCCTATCAGACTGCTGGTTGGTAACCTCTGGTAAGCTCTTAGCATGCATAGAGGAACTTTTATTGATTGTTATGTTTTCTCTGTAGTGCTTTTACCTTTAAGAATAAATGTATCTTCCTTTGTGAGGGCTGGTTGGTAATTGGTAAACATTGTTGTGGCCCCTGAAGAAGGGGTAACCACAGGTGCTATACTCCAGTCAGACTTGCTGGGGAAATCAGTGAGGTGCAGAGGGACTGCAAATGTAAACCCACTGGTCTGCTGGAGAGAGAGACATGAGTCTCCTCTCAAGAGGTGTGGTGGCTGGGAGTGTCAAACCTTAAGTGGGTGCCCTCATGAAAGACCAGTAGTGAGGTCAAAGGTACTGTTAACTCTGAAATTGTGACATGGGTCCTGAGCTGCAACAGAGGTGGCAGGTGAGGAGGCTGCCAGAGAGGCATAAGGGAGAATCTTAGTGGGGGCCGGGAAGGGGGCTGCAATAACCCAAATCATAGGGGACAGAGGACAACCAGGGATCTCAGCAGAAATGGAGTCTGGAGAATAGTGGACAAGAGATCCTAAAATTTGCAGGCCATCTGTAGCAAAACTGACTGCCCTCCTGTCTGTGCTGTTAGCATGGAATCTGGAGGACAGGGAAATGAGCGCATGTTCTTAGACAGCTTGACTGCATGCTCAGCAACCTTATTCAGGACAGTATTGAGAAGGAGCTCTTGATGTAGGGGGAAAAAAAATACCAATGGGTACAAAGGATAGATGACACTTGAACAGCAACTCCCTTTCTCGCTCTCTGACAGCCCAAGTAACTGGGATCTCACTGTGCTCCCTAGGGAGCCTCCTACAGGGATACGCTGAGATTACTTCTGCAGTCTTCAGTAGGATACATCATGAGCAGGGAATTGTTGATGTATCTAAATAAAGGGAATTGACAGCCTAATCAGTTTGGTAATTAATGTCCTTGTTAATTTGGGTTGTTTGAATTGCCTCATGAATATTCATGAATCCTGTAATTTATTTCTATATTTGACAGTTCAACCCTGAAGGTGACATTTCTCCCTCTGTGCCAGGACCCAGCAAGTGAGTTAGGATCTTAGGGGCCCAAATCTTATCTTTGTGCAGAGGGGCTGGAGCCAGGTACTCCTGCCTACCCTCCTTACTATGCTTCAGGCCAGACACACATCCCCAGCCCCTGCTATACCAGACTGGGGACTTTCTACTCCCCTGCCAAGGAAGGGATGAGATTGAAAGTCAATTGCAGGGGGAGGGCTGTCACAAGCTGAGCAGCTGGATTGCCCTATGAAAATGCTTTGTGCCAGACAAATTCATTTTCTTAAATACTGACTAAGGGATTGGGGAGGAAAATAGCTAATTCTGTTTTATTCTTTACCAGTTTTTATACCACTCTCATCACTCCTGAGCACCTTCCAGTAGTGCATTAAGGGACGTGACTAACATCTGTCACGTTTGACTCATTCTCTCTCATCCTCTCCCCAGAAGGAGACAAAACAAAAGAAACATGAGAATAAGTTTCTCTTTATTATTCAAGAGTATGACCTGTTTTTTCTGAGCCAGCTCTTGGCCATTTTCCCCAGGGCTTTGTTGACCCTCCTTGAAACTCCTGCCTGTACTGTCTCTTTTCCTTGGTTTTGCTCTACATGATAGAAGTTTGTCATGGTCCATGTTGTTTTTCTCTGTCATACAGGTGTAATGCACCCCACAGTCTTATGTGGCAGGAAAAACACCGCAGTGGCCCAACACTATAGCATTTAATTTCAGAAAGGGGAACTACACAAGTGAAATCTCTGCAAGCTGCATGGAAACTTTTTAAAGACGCCATAATAGAGGCTCAACTTAAATGTATACCCCAAATTAAAAAAAACATACGTAAGCAGAGTCAGGATGAGCTCTACCCTGACATCTGGTGGTGAATTATGGTGAGTGTGGAAAAGAACTCCAGGGGCTGATCTTGTTTGCATAGGCACACCCACTCGCCTGGCATGAAACAACAGCAACTGAAAGTGGTGATTTTGGCTGGTGTGGGATCTCCAGTTTCTCTGTTATTGGGGCAGGAAGAATAAAGTTTTGTTACCCTGATTCTGTGAATCAAGGCCAGTGGAGCTGTTGTATGACAGAAGGACTCACCATTACCTAAGTAGCACTTGCTTGACAAGGGGCATGGATTACAAAACCCAGTGGATTGAGAGAAGATGGGGACAGGTATTTATACCTGATGGTATGGGCAGCCTTTGAGGGCTTGAAACACTAATTGCACCATCTCCTTTCTCCACTGTAGAATGTTAGAGCTAACTTTGATTCCACTAGGAGTCTAGTTATAGGCTGCTGAGCTGAATTTGCTTTGGACCAATGGTGCACCAGCACTGGGGCTCCCCTACTATGAGCTGAAATCACAAAAGAGCTGAAGAGCTGAGATCGCTGAGTGTTGTGTTAACTAGTGGGGGAGCCTGAAGCTATATTGCTAAGCAGCTGGCTGAGCAGCAAGCGGCACAGAGCCTCGCAGGGACGGTTGGAGCGTACCAAGGAACAGCGAGTGGAGCTGTTTGCGGGGACGGCTGGAGCGGCTCACAGGTCGGTGAGCGGAGTGGAGCAGCTCATAGAGCCGAGCAGTTCTAAGGTGCCTCTTAACACCCTGCGTGCCCCCCTTTTACTCTGGAGCTGCACTGACCAGGGACAGAGACTTTGGGGGTTGTTGGACTTTTGGGACTTTGGGTGGCTGCTGGACCCAAGAGACTTTGGGGGTGTT